TCGCGCGGTGACATTTTTGCATGCCAACGCGTCTGATAGATTCTCTCTCTCTCTCTCTCTCTCTCTCTCTCTCTCTTCCCTTCCGGCTCTTTTAATATATTCCGTTTCCTCGCCGAAAACAATATTCGCACCAAGTTCCGGAGCAACTCTCGCAATTATTCTCTTTCCCACCATCCTTGCCCTCCACCATCCTTTCCCTCATTGCTCGACGAGGAGGAACGGTACAAACATATCAACGAGAGAGAGAGAGAGAGGGGGGAGAGAGAGAGAGAAACAAAAGTGAAATGTACGTCGGAAATTAAAAAAAGAGAAGAATTGAAAAGGAGAAGAGCAAAAAAGGAGAAGCTCGGACGAGAGATGGGATAGGAGACGGGTGCCCCACGGGGGCTGTTGCCGCAAGACTGAGAGAAGAGGGTGGACGAAGGGGGCGAGGGTACTCTTGGCACGGAGTAATCGACAAATATATATTCAAAGTTATTCCAAGTGTTTTCTTACCCAGAGCCCCACCGTGTTGCAGCTGCGCAAGAGTTACGATATCGGTATCGTGGTTAGGCGCGACGTATATACGTGTCGAGGCTTAGCAGACGAGAATTTAGATGTATCTCAGTCGCGTGGGTGGGAAGGAACAAAGTAGAGTGTGTTAATGTGTGCGTTATGTTTGTCTCGTTTGCGTGTGTGTGTCCACTATGTCTGTAAGTAAGTGTGAAACGACTGTGAGACGGACTGGAACTGATTATCGATTATGATATATCTCGATCGATCTGAACCCTCTCTCTCTCCCTCTCTCTCTCCTCCTTTCATTCTCTACCTCCCTGTCCCTCTTTCCGTATCCGGAAGCTATCGATGCGCGATAATATCTCTGGATTTCTCCCATTGTTGTCGAGCGATACTGATACAGTGACCGTTAATACTGCGGACGCAGTACTGTGCAGTTGTGTTGCTCAGAAGCAGATTCGCGAAAGCTCGAGTGTAATGCTATTGGGCGATTAGGTGACGCGATACAGAATATATTCTCGCTAGAACGTTCGTTTTTACCGAATTTTCCGCCTACAGATGCGCTTGTGAATCGAAAAATGTGTCTCTTCCTACGTGTAAAAACAAAATTGTTCATGTGTATGCTATTGTATCATCTTCTTTCTTATCTTTTTGTAACCCCAAAAGGAAAATCGTTATCTCGTTGACGAAGAAATGAATGAATGAGTGACAAGAAGCAATTCTGCAAGAATCAAAACTTCTCTCCTCGATTCCTCCGAAACGGGAATCTTATAGAGATCAAGAATGTTGCATTGTAAAATTTTGGTATTTTTCACAGCAATTGTATCGCTGCCCCTCCCGGGGCGGGCAATCTTTCGGAAATCGAGAGCGCTGTGACACTGCAAAATCATAGGACTTGTCATAAACATCGCGTGACTGCCCTCCAGGCGGCAATCTTTCGGAGAGATCGAGAATCTCTGCGACACTGCGTGATGTCGGAATATTTGCAGAGATCTGTATCGCTGCCCCTCCGAAACGGATATCTTTCGGAGCTCGAGGCTGCTGTGTGACAGCGCACTGCAAAATGCACAGCTTTGTCAAAAGACTTGCTCGTCACAGCCCGCGATCCGTTTCTCAGCGTCTGTTTCTTTCGACGCATGTCTCGGCATGACCGAGGTGACAGTGGGCCGATCGACGTCGGTCCGATTATCGTCCTGAAAATATAATTAGACGTAGTTTTTGGCGTCAACATGCAGGCGGGTGCACTTCGTTCGTTCTCTTTTCCTCATGCAGCTTGGTGCTCGAGCTAATAAAGGCAATTGTCACGCTCATTGATCACTCATTCCGTGAGGCAGAGAGGATGATTCGATGAGAGATGATAAGACCGCATACTCGTACGCCCGGTCGATTTCGGAAAATTGAAGGAGCAACGATCCGCAAAAGTTATAATCGCCGAGTCGGCAGCTCGATTTTATCAATATCGCGCGCTCACAGTCACTCACGAAGTGAGTAAACTCTCAGATGGCTCGAGATGCATCGAGGACTAATTGTTCGAGAGAGTCGATCGGCTATTAATTAATGAATCTGTGTGAAAGTTTCGAGAATGCAAGCAAATGATCTCCGTATGTATCTTTATCGTCTTCTTCCCTTGCCAAAGGGACAATTGACAATTTCTCGAGGAACAACAACGAAAGAGCCCGGTACGGGCCTGAATATCTTACTGTATCTCTCACGATTCTAAAGATATTCAATTGCGCTGGTGACAGACATGATGATGACAGTGAGAGGAGCGTAGATTATTGCGTGCATGTGCAATGACCAGTGGTGTACCTATTAGAGCTAGCTCAAGTATCGTGTGTGCGTATATATATATATATATTATTCACGCGTGAACTATGTACATATTGTGACTGGTCTCCTAACCATTCGCAAGAAAGCGCTCGTGGAAAGGATTGCCGACACGATTGTCTCGAGTGATGCGTTTCGTTCGGCAAACTGTACCGTCAGTACAATGAAAATCGTTATACTAAGAGAGGAAAAATATCCAGAAAATAAGAAATATTTATTGGATGTATACTAATAACATATTTCCTTGTGTGCTTATACATACAAGGTGTCCCAGACTCTCCTTCGTAATTTTTATAGGAACGGATTAAAGTGAACATAAAAATCCCATAACGTTTTGCGATATTCACAATAAATCTTCTTTAATTAATATCTCGATTATTATTGCAAATATCGCAAAACGGAAAGAGACTTTTATGTTCACAACCTCCATCTGTCCTCACAAAAAATGCGGAGAAGAGTCTGGGACATTCTGTATATATTTTTTTTACATTGAGAAAAATTTTCTTCGAATAAAGAAATATAGTCCTTGTCTTGAAATCTTTTTTATTCATAAAAGCGTCTCTAAATGTGACTGAATCAGAAGGCTCACAAGCCGCATTTAGAGACATTTTTATCGATAGAAGAGAGAATTCAGGATAAGGGCCTATATATTTCCCTAAAACACCGTTGCATTCTATGAAAGCAATTGCGTTTTCTTTGTTAAATCAAAGAAAATTTAGATTCAAGTAAACACGTTATCTGTACCCATCGAATAAGTGTTTCTTTTATTTTTCAGGTGTTTTTTCTCTCACAGTGTAATTAGGAAAATCAAGTCCACCCACACGACCCCGCAGTGATAGCTCGATCGATTCAGCATCGATTACGCGATTCCAAGTGAGACATCGCCAAATGAGATCCACTTGGAATCGAGATGGACCAACGAACACGGCGAGAGACATGGCTGTCTCCTCGTCTCCCCTCCCGCCCCCATGTGTTGTCGTCGCGAAAATTTCCATAAACTCGGCGCAAGATTTCGTGTCGTAGCAATCCTCCTTCTCACAAGCTGCGTGTCTCCCCGACAGTGGAGAATAGAAGAGAAGAGAGAAAAGAAATAGCGGAAAGAAATAATAAAGTTCAACGTAAGACGAGACTCGTAAACAGGTTGTTAGCACTCCTATTCGAATATCGCGGCACTCGATCGCTCCGAATATTCCGCGTGACTCGCTCGCATATATTGCGGACGTGAAATTCAAGGCATCTATATTAAAGACTGAATTACCCCTCCCGTTTCCCCCCTTCGTCACTTACACGCCCTCTTCCCCCGACTGCGGGGAATGCACCTTTCCCAACGGAGTAACGACAACAAGCGGCAGTGACTGCGACAACACGTTGTAAGACTGCTCGATAAATCAATAATCCATCGTCGCGACGCGGCAGACACAGACACAAGGAAGTTAATTAAAATTCTATGCTCGTTGCATATCGAGGCCCGCGTATCAATCATTCAAGCGCGCCCGTCTTCGTAACGCCTTCGAATCGGCTAGTCGCGATCGACAGGCCTTCTTCGTGTGCAACAGCAGAAAACATCGTTATCGTCGCGAGAAACGGCCAGCCGAATAAAGAGAACGACGCGATATTCTCCGCTTTATTTCCGTGAGATCGCAATCGACGACGCGTCGTGTTAGTCAGAACTCTCGCAATTCCATCCATACGACCGACGCAAGCTTCATCTACCGGAAGTTCTCGAAATATTCGAATGACCCCGACCGCACGCGCTATTCGAACGTCCACATCGAGTAAGATTAAAGCACCAACGCTTGGACACGTGCCCAATCCTGGACATTCTTATTGTTTTGGTCTGTACACGAACATTTTTCAACTTTCAACATGAAATGTATGCGCCCGAAAAATCAATCTTATCCTTAACGGAATTCTCTTATATATGAGAAGATTCCTCCGAAATCAAAGGAGGAAAATATTCTAGGCGCAATATAAGAAAAATTTAGTCCTTTATCTACGGTGCAAATTTTGTTCCTAATAAAAAGTCCCTTTCGATAAGAAAGCATTCTGTTTTAAGTAAACATATTCCTCTTGACTCAAAAGGAAAACAGTTAGAAGAGGAATATTCTTTTGGTAAGAGTTTTCGCTTGAAATATGGGATTACGGAAAATAGCGCCTTGCAACTAGAGTTCTTTTTCTTGAGTATTAGAATATTTTCCCTTTTGGCTTTCAAGAAGATCCCCTTTCGAGGCCACACATAGAAGGATTCCGCTAAAGATAAGACATTTTTCGGGTATATTTTGGATGTATATATTCTGTGCGTGGAAAGTCTAAATATTCGTATTTAAAGACCAAAACAACAAAGCCCACGATCGACTGCGTGTTCAGACATTGGCACTTTTATCTTAACGAGCGAAATAAATAAGAACGAAAAGAAAAGAGAAAGGAGAAAAGAAGAAGATAAAGAAGAAGTAGAAGTAGTAGTAGTAGAAGAAGAAGAAGAAGGTGCTCTGGTGATCACTCCTCTCTAAGAAGCTAAGTTGTCGCGTGAAAGTTAGCCAATTAGTTATATACAGGTGCGTGTCCGGGCCAGTCCAACGAGAGCTCGCGAGCTGAGCTCTCGGCTTCGTCTCTTTTTGCTTGCTGATATCTTTTTTCAATTTTTTTTGTTCGTTCAAGCTTTGGATACTGAGGCTTACCAGGTGGGACTCTGGGCTGGTGAAGGTGACCAAAGTGCCGTGGAGCCGCTTCGCGCTAATCGCCGCATCGGCCTTCTTTAAACCGGCCAGTCCAATAGTAGCAGTGCGTTGGCCCAAGTTCGACCACGTGTGGGCGCACGAGGGTCAGCAACATTGAGAATCGATTTTAGAATGGTCGACCGTCGGCATGTACGCGGTGCAATTGCGCTCATTGGTGCATGGCTCGCTAAACGTCGCCGGGTGCCGAGTTTTTTTTAGCTTCTAAGAGTGCTCGACAATCGCTTCCTTCCGCACGAGATCGCGGATTAACCGCGGGCGGAAAATGTCACGACGACTTTCGTCAGACGATATGCGCGCCTACGTCGAGATACTTTCCACTCAATCGATATCGCGGCCCTCCCGCCCTTGCCCCCTCCGTTTAGCTGGCGATTAACCCAAGTAGAAAGAGCGATCTCTCCCTAGCTCTAGTAACTCGCCAGGAATTTCGTTTACTGGCCAGTTTCTGGCTGGTGAGCAATTTTCCCTCGGAAAGTTTTCTACTTGGGAATATCCATCTCTCTGTTACGCTCGCACGTTGCTCGCCGTTGATATCGAAAGGATTCTCTCTGCCCGATAATAGAACGACAGAGCGATTTGATATCTGAACGAGATATACAGGCGAGCGAGATTACACCGGTGCCACGCAAATTGACACACAATTCCGCCACTTTCGCCCCCTCAGCCCTATTCCGCGGGATCTCTTCGAGTCGGTCGCGTGACGTATGAGAAAATTGCGAAGTCGCAGAATTTATTTTGGCATGAAGGACGCGCGCAACACATTCGTTCTTTTCTACCAATTTGTCTCTCGCCCGCGCATTCGATGAATTTCCCCGTGCGCGCCATTCGTTTTTCGACACGGCGGAAGGAAGCCGGGACGCGTGACAGACAGCGACATTGACAATCGATCTCGGAAATTCATTTCCACCTGGACTTATGAGATCCTCGTAATTTCCTACCCAGTCCGCCTGCACACGCTCGTCGCGCGCGCGCGCGACCGATCGATTTTCGAGCCCGCGCCCGTCGACTTTGACAGACGCGCGGAGATCTTATCCGCCGGCGTTCCATTAAATCCCGCGATTCGCAAAACAGGGCGCAAACGACGACGACGGGGGTAGGCGGGGGCGGCGCAGAGGAGGAAAAAGGGCGAGGGAGCGCGCGGCCTGTTTAACATTTATTCCCGCCTAAACTTTCAACATTAACTTCTTGCTCCGCGGCCGCCGGGCGGAATGCTAAATCCGTAGACTCTCAAGTTGTCGCGAGCGAATGGAGTCACGACGAGACGAGACGAGAGACAGTAAAGTTTCGCTCGCGCGAATTAAAACGACTTTTAACAGTAGTAACTTAAGAGCGTCCATTGTCGAGCACATCCCCAGGCGGGTCCTCCACTACGGTATCCCGTAACTTTCGTTCGCGGACTTTCGTCAAACGGATCGACCAAGTGCTCGCTCGCAGGAGCAGTCGTGTCGCCTTCGATGCCAAACATATGCATCCAGAAATCCGAGTCCAGCAACGCAATTCTGTAACTCGTTAACTGTCCTTGACGACAGTGTTGTCGTTGCGCAGGTATAATATATGCCAGAAAAGATGCACAACGACAGTTAAGTTATTAAGTTTACGTAAAAACATTTGTAAGTCTGTATAACTAATACGACGTAAACTTTGCAGAAAAATGTCAGTATTCTGTCGGTAAAGCATCTCCTTAACGAGTTACAGAATCGCACCTCAGAATCGCTCCTATTCCGGACGCATAACGTACGTTAACCCTAGAGCCTAATCGATTTCGTTCAAATTGTTTTCTCTATAAAATAGTCTTTTAAAAGTCGCTCCTGATGAAGAATTTTGTGGCCCAACTAACATTGACTGTCAAGAAGCACGGGATTTTCAGAATGTATAATCGCGGAAGAAAGGTTGTCACCCTTTTTCTCGTGAGGAATTGTTTCCCGTTGGGAGAGTTGTTTCCCGTTTTTTCAGATCTCATTTTTAAGATCAACCATTTTTTCTCTCACACGCAAAGAAACCTCAATTCCTGCAACTGAATAGAAACCAACTGAAAATTAGGTGGTCAGAAACGATATCTCTATTATAAAAACTAATATTTCTGTTGTCGCAACCAAAAATATTCGTTTGAACATTCAGCGATATTAGAATTCGATTGAGGCAACTGAGAACAATTGACTATACACAGAAACCTCATAAAGAAATTTTTCTGTTCCTACAATTTTTCATCTGATCCCTGAACAATCGAAAATTCGGTTGTACCAACGGAATTGTTTTTTCCGTGCAGTGTAGAACGGGTCGTCTTAACCTCGAGCCTTAAACATGGATGAAATTAACCCAGATCAACTTTTCCAGCGTTACCGCTTTTAAAACCATGCCCTTTTGCTTTTTCTGCGTTTCTGTCAGTGTAAGATTTAAATATAACTCTCAATAAATCTATTGTTGCACCAATACGACAAAAACTGTTCATTATTGTACGATGTAAATTTAATAATTAATTCAGTTCAGTATATTCACTTCATAAGCGTAATTGAAAGAATTGCAAAGTTTCCACCTCGCGTCGTGATAATCAAGAAAATTTATCTGGGTACCTAAGTGACTCCTGGTTCGGCGCGCTTGTCGCCGTTCGATTAATTCGAGATATCGCGGAACGAGAAGCGCGACTCGGTGTGCGTGTAACGAGAAATTGGAACGTCGTTTCCTCTCGTTGACTCGCCTGTCGTCGTCGGAATACCGGAAAAAGAACGAGGTAAGAGGAGAGCCGCAGGGAGAGAAAGAGATCTCGAGGAAGAGCGAGTGGAAGCGTCTCGGATCGTATAAAAGAATACTTCGTTAAACATTTTTACTGGCGTCGTCGTGCGCGCGCGCGCGCGCACACGCGAGCACTTAGCCCCCTTTCTAAACAATCTTTTGTAGAACGGGCGCGCAACGAGCCGTCTCCCGGGAACGAAACGAGTACCGGGCGCATCGTTAAACACGTCGCGAGCTATAATGCGTCACTTTAAGACGAGAATTATCTTTCGGGCGGTATAACGAGAGGAGTAAGTCGCTGAAAGTCTCCGTGGCGGCGGGTTCGTGTCGGCACATCGCGCGCGGGCATTAAGGCGCTCGTCATAAATATGAGAAGACACGCGTTCGTCTTGAATACCCGTAAAACTTCCAACGGGCTGTAACCAGCGAGAAAGAGAGAGAGGGAGAGACCGCGTGTGAGGACGAGACGAGAGAAATTACGCGGCGTATAAACAAAATCATTGGCGGGAAATAGACGACGCGTAGTTCGATTCTCAAGTAGCAAGCCGATCGTCGGTTCGTTGCGTTGAGAACTACTTTTACTTTCAAGTACATTTATATAAGAAAGAGAGAGAGAGAGAGAGAGAGAGAGAGAGAGAAAAGAGGAAAAGAGAGGAGAAGCAATGTCGAGGTCCTTTTAACCCTTTAAGGCCCGGTGTACGCGATTATGTGTACATTAACTTTGAATATACTCCCCAAATTTCTTTATATCGGTGAAGCAATGATTCCGTCGATATAAAACTATCGATTCGTCCGAGAGGAAAAATGGTTGATCTCAAAAATGGTATCTGCACGCAAAAAAATAATTTAGTAATACCAGCTAAACCGCGGTAGCTGACTCAAACTTAGTCAAAAAACTAATCGTTTAACTATCACTGCTAAGAATTGGCTATGACAGCTAAGATGCATTCGCTATGAAATACAAATATATTAGGTGACATTAAAAATGCACATTATTTCAAGTAGCTAAGAAAATAGCAGTTATTCCTAAATTTCTTATTGCATGCATATATTAAAGAAATTTGCCGTACAGCTACAGTCATTTATTTCTAGCAGTTAATATTTCTCGCTGTAGCGCCTAAATTTAACAGCGAGTAAATTTAGCTTCGGTGGTATCGACATTAGCTGTCCCTATTTCAGTGACACATCTTATCTGCCACAGTAATTTTTTAGCTCTGGAAGCTAGTTCTTTTTTGCGTGTGGAAGAACCGGAGAATTCTTCCAACGAGAAACGGTTTCTCACGAGAGAAAAGTGAACTTTTCTGTCCGCGATTATACATTTTGAAAATCCCGTGCTTCTTGATAGTCAGTTTCAGTTGGGCCACAAGGTTCTTCATTAGAAGCATCTTTCAAAAGACTATTTTATAAAGAAAACAATTTTACACGAGTGGGATCGATGTCTGAGCCTTAAAGGCTTTAAAAAGTTCGATCTCCGCAGACTTCGCGACTTTCTTTTTGACGACAAGCGCAGAAGGAGTCGGGAAAATGGAGCTTGTAAGCACGATGAAACGATAATGAAAAAGCAGACGCCGACGCATTAGCGTCGAGATTTCGGCAGATTGCAGGACGCAAGCGTATCGTCAGAGAGACATAGGAACAGACACACACACACACATACACACACACAAACAAACACACAAACACGGTTTACTTCGCGAAATAAACTGACGGATATATTATCGGGGATGTCCGGAATAGGATACAAGTACACGAAAAATACCTTCGGTATACCGCGGCGGTATAAAATCCACCTAGCTAGGATTTAATATCGCGGCCATCTCTCGTCGAGACGCTTTCGAGACGTCACGTAAGCCCGAGCTACTCGAGGCTTAGCGATTTCGTGACAGATTATGCCGGATTATTCGACGAGCACGCACACGAATAAGAAAATATACCTGGATCTCCTCCTTCCTATCCCTTCCTCCTCGCCGTCCCGCGACTTAACCCAGATACGGGCCAATTTTGCGCAGGGTCTTTGGAAAATATCGCCGCGCATCTCCCTGTTACTCCGTAACAGCCCTGCAACAGCCCTGCTCACCCCGCGAGGGCCGTGGACTCCGGTGCACTTTGCGAATAGCAAATCTAGCGGAACGTATCGTCTCCCCCTCAGTCCCTCTTGTCCTCAATAAAAAATTCCATGAAAAATATTTTAATAGAATTTCCAACTTTGTGCACCGCACAAGCGCCGAGTTTCGAACGGGGTCGTGGGAGAGGGAGAGGGAGAGGGAGGGAGGGAGGGAGG